ATTCAAATACTGGAAAATTATAGACGAACGATCGACGTTTCGGCCATATCACACGGCCTTCATCAGGAAACTGCCGAGTCAGCCTAGGTCACGCAAGTGTCACGTGAGAGCTGACTCGGCACTTCCCGTAACGCACAGTCCCACGTGTGCGATAGTACAAACCGCAACCCTCTATCTTATTAAGAGAAGGGTCCTCTACCCTCTCCCAAACAGCTTCTTTGATGCCACGTCTGACCCAGTCTTCTTCCTTGTCCAAGATCGTCACACCGCTTAGACCAAAGGAGTGTCCCGAGCTTCGTAAATGGTTATAGACAGCCGAATTCTGTGCCTCAATGGTACCGGGCTTTTTGTGCTGTCCCACAAAGATAAGATCTCACATGTGGTTTACGGGATAAAGTGTGGTGATGAGAATTCCAGTGAAACCTATGTTGGAGAGACCAAACAGGCACTGGGCTCGAGAATGGAACAGCACAAAAGGCCCAATACCATTGAGGCACAGAATTCGGCTGTCTATAATCATTTACGAAGCTCGGGACACTCCTTTGGTCTAAGCGATGTGACGATCTTGGACAAGGAAGAAGACTGGGTCAGACGTGGCATCAAGGAAGCTGTCTGGGAGAGGGTAGAGGACCCTTCTCTTAATAAGAAAGGGGGTTGCGGTTTGTACTATCGCACACGTGGGACCGTGCGGTACGGGAAGTGCCGAGTCAGCTATCACGTGACACTTGCGTGACCTAGGCTGACTCGGTAGTTTCCTGATGAAGGCCGTGTGATATGGCCGAAACGTCGATCGTTCGTTCATAATTTTCCAGTATTTGAAGATGAAAGTTCTTATAGGAGTCAGATAATTTGTATTTTTTTGGTGTTTTATGTAGCTCTGCTATACAGTTGGAAGTGATAGGATTAACAGTTGTCTCTAATTAACATAACATCTTTGCATTATGTAACCGTTTGCATTTCTAAAGATAAGTTCTTGGTACCCGAGTTTCGCTAAAAAAAGCCGGCAATGAAAAGGGTTTGTTCTGTGACATCCAAGCTGGCAGACTAGAAGTGTGATAGAGCTACTCACAAAAAGTGTCTTAAATACACCGAAGTTGCCTTGGTTTTGCTTTACCTAGCTATATGATTGGTTCAGAAAACTGGCACCACCTTCCCGACCAATCAGATGAAAAACTTAAACAAATCGTGTCTTGGTCACCGGCGTTTTTTTTTTCCCGCTCTTTTACTTTGCGTTCTCATCGGCTCATTGTAATGTTTCCTTGCTTTTTGCCTCAAGATATCCATCGAAATAAACTTTAAACGATTGGGAATTTTTTAGATTTTCTCCCACGTGTAAGTTTTCTCTTACCGTATTCTTTTACTTCAAACTTCACCGTGACATTTTGAGTGTTCTATAAAACAAAATTGCTTATTTAAGCAGCACAAAGAACGAATATTAGCCTTAATACTTTTAAAAGATACAGAAAAAAATTTAAACGCATATTTTCACACACAAAGTTAAAACAACTTTTTGACTACATTCACCTCATGTCCGTGAAGTGCGACTACAGTCCATTGACCAGTTAACGCAAACTCACTAAGACCAAATATCTGAGTGATAAAACCTGAAGAAACAAAGTCAAACTATTTCATTACATCCATGTTTCTCCTTCTGAAAGCTTTCATTTATTGCTTACTGGCACAAGGCCAGTACGTATTATGTCATCATCTTGTAAGTAAGATAGTCCGTAACTTCCGAAGACTTTCGGATCCCGAAGTGAGAACGACCGAAAGTGAACGAGCAANACATATGTGTGAACTGCGGTTATGAGACGTATATGAGAACGATCCTTCGCAGTAAAGCACTATTTGAGCAATAGTGAAAATCAGACCTGAAAAAAATTTCAGGCCTGTACGGGATTCGAACCACTGACCTCTGCGATACTAGTGCAGCGCTCTACCAATTGAGCTAACAAGCCAACTGGGAGCAGGCCATCAAATTAATTCGATATAAACCCGTAGATGATAAATCAAACAACAACAAACATATGAAACATATGTGTGAACTGCGGTTATGAGACGTATATGAGAACGATCCTTCGCAGTAAAGCACTATTTGAGCAATAGTGAAAATCAGACCTGAAAAAAATTTCAGGCCTGTACGGGATTCGAACCACTGACCTCTGCGATACTAGTGCAGCGCTCTACCAATTGAGCTAACAAGCCAACTGGGAGCAGGCCATCAAATTAATTCGATATAAACCCGTAGATGATAAATCAAACAACAACAAACATATGAAACATATGTGTGAACTGCGGTTATGAGACGTATATGAGAACGATCCTTCGCAGTAAAGCACTATTTGAGCAATAGTGAAAATCAGACCTGAAAAAAATTTCAGGCCTGTACGGGATTCGAACCACTGACCTCTGCGATACTAGTGCAGCGCTCTACCAATTGAGCTAACAAGCCAACTGGGAGCAGGCCATCAAATTAATTCGATATAAACCCGTAGATGATAAATCAAACAACAACAAACATATGAAACATATGTGTGAACTGCGGTTATGAGACGTATATGAGAACGATCCTTCGCAGTAAAGCACTATTTGAGCAATAGTGAAAATCAGACCTGAAAAAAATTTCAGGCCTGTACGGGATTCGAACCACTGACCTCTGCGATACTAGTGCAGCGCTCTACCAATTGAGCTAACAAGCCAACTGGGAGCAGGCCATCAAATTAATTCGATATAAACCCGTAGATGATAAATCAAACAACAACAAACATATGTTTCATATGTTTGTTGTTGTTTGATTTATCATCTACGGGTTTATATCGAATTAATTTGATGGCCTGCTCCCAGTTGGCTTGTTAGCTCAATTGGTAGAGCGCTGCACTAGTATCGCAGAGGTCAGTGGTTCGAATCCCGTACAGGCCTGAAATTTTTTTCAGGTCTGATTTTCACTATTGCTCAAATAGTGCTTTACTGCGAAGGATCGTTCTCATATACGTCTCATAACCGCAGTTCACACATATGTTTCATATGTTTGTTGTTGTTTGATTTATCATCTACGGGTTTATATCGAATTAATTTGATGGCCTGCTCCCAGTTGGCTTGTTAGCTCAATTGGTAGAGCGCTGCACTAGTATCGCAGAGGTCAGTGGTTCGAATCCCGTACAGGCCTGAAATTTTTTTCAGGTCTGATTTTCACTATTGCTCAAATAGTGCTTTACTGCGAAGGATCGTTCTCATATACGTCTCATAACCGCAGTTCACACATATGTTTCATATGTTTGTTGTTGTTTGATTTATCATCTACGGGTTTATATCGAATTAATTTGATGGCCTGCTCCCAGTTGGCTTGTTAGCTCAATTGGTAGAGCGCTGCACTAGTATCGCAGAGGTCAGTGGTTCGAATCCCGTACAGGCCTGAAATTTTTTTCAGGTCTGATTTTCACTATTGCTCAAATAGTGCTTTACTGCGAAGGATCGTTCTCATATACATTTTATCAACCGTCTAGATTTTTTGATATTTTCCCCCTTAATCGAAATTAGTATCGGGTTCGTCCCTTATATGTGGAAAATAAAGCATAGAAAGGGGTAATTAAGAAAGGGGGGAGGGGCAAGGGAGTTTGTAACCCCCCTAGTTTATAAACTATTAATTTATGAAATAAAACCAAGAAGACTCTCGTTTGGAACCTATCTTTGAATGCAATTCCCAGGAAGTTCAAAGCTAGCGAGTACTTCAGGATAAATGCACGATTGGAAATTTCGCCCGGTTAATTAGTGTTTCGTGTAAAACTTATATCGGTCTCACCTCTAGCATACTCCAGGCTGCTACTTTGTTGTGGAGTGTAAATTGGCTTGTCTGTCTGTAGCAGAACAATGCCATCTAGAAAACTAACGAGCACCTTCGCCTCTTTGTTTGTGGTTACGTCGCTATCGTTAGATTTGGCAACAAGGGAGACGTAGCGATGAGTGGCTAAATCGTCTTCATCAGTTACATCCACGGGGAAATCTTTTGGATCCAACTGAGTGGAATGAATATTAACCACAAGTATTAAAAAAAGTTACGGCAATCTTAACGCTTTTACTGTCTTTCAGGCAAAGAATAAAGACAAGTAAATGGTAAAAAAGAATTCTTTTTCATTTGCCTCAAGCAAGTTGAGAGCGTGACTTATACAAGTTGAAACCATTTTCTAGCAGTCGCATAAAGAGTTTGTGTCAATTGCAGATCAGTACAAACAAATTTATATTACATCAAGGGTGTATCTCGTTACCTTGAGTTTCAAAAAACCAGGAACCTCTGTGGAATAAAAAAAAAAACAGCGGAAATTTATTTGACGTATACTGAGTGGAAATAAATTTAAGAAAAAATCACAGTAGCACAGACCACTCGTGTTAACTCGTGCATTTTAATTGGCCACATATGGAGTACACCAACATTCGTAGCTTTCATTCCTTGTTAAAATAACATTATCTGGTTCAAAAACCCTCTCGTAACAGTTGATTTGAATGAAAGAAACAAAAATCATAAGTTCCTTATTTCTTGAAATTTCTCTACTTAAATGCAAGTATCAAACTTCACAATGTTATTCCGTAATTTTCTACTTATTTACCATTGGTAAAAACTCCACTGGCGGCTGCCAATTTAATTTTTTTATCAGGAAAATCTTGAACGATCACTGTCACATTGACGGGCCTGTCGCTGCTGTAGATGATAACTGATACTGTCTCCTCCACGCCGAGGTGGAAGATATTTGGAGCTGTTATGAACAGTTGAGCATTACTATAAAAATAAGGAAAAAAA